TCTCTCTCTCTCTCTCTCTCTCTCTCTCTCTCTCTCTCTCTCTCTCTCTCTCTCTCTCTCTCTCTCTCTCTCTCTCTCTCTCTCTCCCTCTCTCCCTCTCTCTCTCCCTCTCTCTTTCTCTCTCTCCCTCTCTCTCTCTCTCTCTCTCTCCCCCCCCTCTCTCTCTCTCCCCCTCTCTCTCCAGTGGTCTGTTAAGAGGTCATATTCAATCTCATCGTGATCCTTGTATACCTCATCTTGCTCTTCATCAGAGAGACATAGTCTACATTGACTCAATGAAGAAGAGACATCCAGAGGATGTTACGAAATATGAAATGGTAATGATGATGTCATTTGATGTCATACTCATCATAATGATGACATTTTTATAGGAAATTGCAAAGACACTTGATTTTATTGAACATTGCCAAAAATCACGATACGGTAAAAAGAATATTTTTAACATTATTACTATTATTATTATTATTATTATTATTATTATTATTATTATTATTATTATTATTATTATTATTATTATTAATAGATCACCTGATGCCTTGTAAACCTGTACAAAAGTATCTAAACTCAGTTCTCTACATCGACGAACTTCAAAAGTTCTTCGAAGACGACAATTACAAGTACAGAATATTTAAAAACCACACACACACACACACACACACACACACGGCTACATATGATACTTTGTTCCCCTTAGGTTATCACTTCAAATTGAACCACCTGCAAGAAAGTCTCTGAGGGTTCCTTCTCGTCCTCCCCCTTACCCCTCCTTCGCCCTCCGCAGCTCCAAGAGCTCAGAGGATCTCCTGACTCCGCCCCTTGAGCCGGAATACACAGGACCTAACATAGCCACACCCCCCAGACGAACCCTCACTAATCATCGCTCAGACGCTGACATAATACAAAACAAGAGGGTGGGGCCTGTTTTTATAGCTGGGATTCCCCTAGCAACCAGACTCCAAGCAAAAGGTGTTACCTTGCCACCTAATCTTGAGGTGAGTATCAAGGAATTGAAGAAGGTTTCGTCCAAAGAGTCTGAGACTGGGTCTGAGTCTCGTAAGGTGAAGAGCTCTTCTCCGAGTTTGCAACCAAAGAAGAGAAGCCATGTTAAGACACAGAGCCTTGGGAACAAGTTAGTGTTTTATTTATTTATTTATTTATCTATCTATCTATTTATTTATTTATTTAAATTATCTCATCTTTCATTGTACAGTGTTTGGACAGCTCTTGGCATAAAGCAGTCAAGGTGAGCTATTGCTCTTTATAAATATGGAGCATTTTGATTAAAATTTTTATTCAAAAATTCGTTAAAAATCCAATTTTAATCGGAATCAGCTCAAACTTGAAACACATCATAAGAACATGTATGTGTATCATAAAATGTAATAAAAATGGAGAATTCTCTCCTAGTCATTTTTGGTGAAATTTGGCCCAAGACCCTGTACTATAGTACAGGGACTTTTACCCGATTTTGCCAAAAATCAAAAACAGAGGATTCTCCATTTTTATTCCATTTCCTGATACATATACATGTTCTTATGTTGTGTTTCAAGTTTGAGCTGATTCCGATTAAAATTAGATTTTTTACGAATTTTTAAAGTTACTCCAAAATCAGGTAAAAGTCCCTGTACTATAGTACAGGGACTTTGGCCAGATTTCACCAAAAATGAAAAGTAGAGAATTCTCCATTTTTATTACATTTCCTGATACATATACATGTTCTTATGTTGTGTTTTAAGTTTCAGCTGATTCCGATTAAAATTGGATTTTTTACGAATTTTTAAAGTTGCTCCAAAATCGGGTAAAAGTCCCTGTACTATAGTACAGGGACTTTGGCCAGATTTCACCAAAAATGAAAAGTAGAGAATTCTCCATTTTTATTACATTTCTTGATACATATACATGTTCTTAGGTTGTGTTTCAAGTTTGAGCTGATTCTGATTAAAATTAGATTTTTTATGAATTTTTAAAGTTACTCCAAAATTGGGTAAAGTCCCTGTACTATTATAGTACAGGGACTTTGGCCAAATTTGACCAAAAATGAAAAGTAGAGAATTCTCCATTTTTATTACATTTCCTGATACATATACATGTTCTTATGTTACTCTGTTCTCTTCTAGTCGAGCCAGTAGTCCTGAACAGGTTCAGAATGTCAGTCTAATTGATGACAGTATGCTTGATAATAATGTACTGGGCGTGGCCACCTCCGACTGTAAGATAATGACGCTATAGAGAGAGAGAGAGTTACACTTGACCATTAATGATTTATCATTAATTTCTCCAGACACTACTCCTTCGGCGTCAGTCGGCTCTAATAATTCAAGTATTGACGTCGCAAGTTTTGATGAAACGACAGAAGAAGTACCAAGAGAAAGGTTTCATTTTATTTTAAATTATTTAATATTATTATCACAGTTGTACGTGTATTAATTATTTATTAAATATTATTAATATTTAATTGTTATTTTTTCAGCGACGAAGAAGGTGCTTGTCTCGATAGTGCTGAAACTGAAATCCTTTACGAAGGTACTTTACTAATACACAGTACAGCTGCTACTATTAATATACACCTGCTGCTGCTGCTGCTGCTGCTGTTGCTGCTACATGTACATGTACATCTCTTCCTTATTGTTATAAATAAAATTATTGACTTATTGCGTCAGGTATTGTTTCTGTTTCTGTTATTGTTATTTTTACTATCTCTTTGTGTGTGTTTTTAGAAAAATAATAATAATAAATATGTTTTTATTTCAAATAATGTTTCTCCTTCTCTTCCACCCCCCCTCTCTCAAGGATTGCTAAAGAGGCGTGTCATGAAGAAGTCCGGTAAAAGTTACCACATGAAAATATCTCACCTATTTTGGGTTCAACTAACTCCGTCTCAAATCATACTCTTACCATCGAAATATAAAAACCCAAAAAAAGCCGTGAGTATCTTTTACATGTACATGTATTGGCCAGCCCCTCTGGAGGTGTGTGTGTGTGTATAAGTAATGTAATACCTGAGGACTGAGATATCTGCTTGAGGTGAAGCTGAGGGCAGATATCAAGGGACTCAGGTATTACATTACTGATACTCATAAAACTAATAATTTATAACTATTGTCTTTCTTGTAGGTTAATGGTAATCATTTAAAATACATCCAGCTGTTTGGTAGTCGCGTAAAACACGGAGATCCTTTCCTTAAACTAAAAGACAGGCAATTCATACTAATGGACAGCAAAGGTATACTAGAATATACTGTAAATACACTGGAATATACTGGAGTTTACTGATCGTTCACTGTAGGCAATGAAACTAAGTTTACATCAGAAGGAGGTAGTGATACTCAAGTGTGGGTGGAGCAGATAAGAAGAGCAATCATTAATGAAGAAGACAGACTACGGAGACAAGTAAATATTTTTTAACAAATCAAAAATTTTCTATTTATCTAAAAAAATTTTTTAGGAAGAGGAGAAACCTCTAATCAAATTTTAATCCATTGTCTTGTGTCCACTTCACTGTATCATAAAACTAATAATAATGATAATGTATATATAAATATATATATATATTCCCTTTCCATATCCCTCCTCTATCTCCTCCTGCCTCTCATATCTAAATAAATATTAAATTATAATGTAATAATAATAATAATAATAATAATAATAATAACAACAACTGTGTTATATTGATGATAATACTGTCCATTAAACATTAAGTCATTATCAGTGCTCTTGGTATCGTCCGGACTAGGTTCATCACTAAAATTGAGCCGATGTGATCATCCTAAGGAGAAGAGAGAGAGAGAATGCAAATTAAAACAAAGCAAGAAAAAATAGAATATTATATATAATTGTAGGATTTATAGAACTTAAAATTAAAAATAATCTTTTATAGAATTCATAATATATACAGTATAAATGGATTGTGGTGATCATAAAATGGCTACATTGCATTTATAAAAGAATTGAAATACTTCACCTGAAGTTCCCACGTCAGATTAACGAGAGGCTGTGGAAGGAACTGTGCTATACTGAGCGTCACTGAAGTACCGGAGAGTTCCAAACCGTATCCTTCCTTTGTTTGGAGGACCTTGCTATCAGGGACTAACCTGTAATGACAGTATCTCCATTATACCTCTAATAAACCCACTGTAAACTAAGTATAATATTATGTTGCGAGTTTAGCTCAAATTTTAAGATTTTTTAGAGGGAAAAATGGCATAAGGACATCTTTTATTGACACATTAAATTGTTCAAGAGAGATTATGTGGTGAATATTTTCCAAAAGTGATCATCTCATTATAGTATTTTACTTGTTAATCGATGTTGTGAGCAATTCAAGAATGTTGCTGTCTGGTAAAAAATGGCCGTCAAGAGTCAGCGTTTGGCTGAACTTTAGTTTGTGACGAGTGAGACCGATTTCATCAGAAACCTCTTTATGAGTCAGCAATGATACCTCCTAAACAAAGAAGAGCATTAACTATTAATTTTATTAATAGTGATGACAGGTTTCCCACATAAAGAAAGCTAAGTTTAACTGCATCACTACAATATAGTACAGTACATGGGTTTGGAGTAACTTTAAAAATTCATAAAAAAATTCAATTTGATTGGAACCAGCTCAAACTTTCTACACATCATAAGTACATGTATATGTATCAGGAAATGTAATAAAAGGGAAAATTCTCTCCTTTTCATTTTTGGCAAAATTTGGTTCAAGACCATGTACTATAGTACAGGGACTTTTACCTGATTTTGGAGCAACTTTTAAAAATTCGTAAAAAATTCAATTTTAATCGGAACTAGCTCAAACTTTCTACACATCATAGGTACATGTATATGTATCAGGAAATGTAATAAAAATGGAAAATTCTCTCCTTTTTATTTTTGGTGAAATTTGGCCAAAGTCCGTACTATAGTACAGGGACTTTTACCCAATTTTGGAGTAAATTTAAAAATTCATAAAAAATCCAATTTTGATCGGAATCAGCTCAACCTTGAAACACAACATAAGAACATGTATATGTATCAGAAAATGTAATAAAAATGGGGAATTCTCTATTTTTGATTTTTGGCAAAATTGGGTTGAAGTCCCTGTACTATAGTACAGGGTCTTGGGCCAAATTTCACCAAAAATGACTAGGAGAGAATTCTCCATTTTTATTACATTTTCTGATACATATACATGTTCTTATGTTGTGTTTCAAGTTTGAGTTGATTCCGATTAAAATTGGATTTTTTACGAATTTTTGAATTTTTTAATACAAGGACTTTGACCCAATTTTAGAGCAACTTTAAAAATCCACTGACAAGATGTGTTGTGAATGATGTCATATTACCTCATTCTTCATCACTAGCAATCCATCAACCACTGCACTGTTTGGTAAGGAACAGAGTCTCTTTGAGGGTGGGGCACCTGATAATTAGTTATTAATTAATAGTTAATTAACCACCAGTACCTATGCTTTCTTCCAGTGCTCTTTTGAACAGCAACGAGGACATGTTTACCGATATGGAGGGTGTTGTTGCTATGGCAACGGTCTCTCCGTTAGCCGGCATATAACAATGAATGCCTCAAATTTTAGAAAAAATATCAAAATAATTATAATTAAAATATATATATACTTACCGAATTCTTCGTTTATTTTTTGTCTCAGAAATTCCATTTTCGCTGCCTCTCCATGCACCAAAAGGACATTCTTTGGCTCTGCCTACTCAATTAATTAAACACTAAATTTATTAATTAATAACTTACTAATTGTATCAGCTGCATAATGCCTTTAGCATCAGCATGAGCACTAACAATAATAAATAATAATAATTATAATAATTATTAATAATAAATTAAAACCTGAATGACATATATTGGACCGACAGTCTTATATTAACCTAAAGATATACAACCACTTGTTAATAAGCAGCTGCTATATTGTAGGCATTAATGACGCACCAGTTTCTTGTCAATCTCAATCTTCTTAGTACCAGATAGAACCTTGTGACCGATGGTACCGGGAACACAGTAACCTGGCATTATCAACTAGTAGGAATAATGATAATAATAATAATAATAATAATAATAATAATAATAGTAATAATAATAATAATAATAATAATAATAATAATAGTAATAATAGTAATAATAGTAATAATAATAATAATTTAAGTTATTATTTGTTATCAAAACCAGATACAGAAACTGTAATAAAACTGCCTTGTTAATTTCTAGAAAAACCATGGGCTATATATACGTGCTTTTTAAAAACGCGTCAATAAGTTATAAAATTATTTATCATTGTAAATTTTTAGATTTTATTACATGAACAAATAAAATAAATTCACAAAATTTAAAAAAATTCGAAATTCAAAGTCTTTATGATTCACCATTTGTCATCAACGTTGGACTCACTACGATTGAATATCTCCTCTGGGAATTCCTCATCACACACGAAATAGTTCTCATCGTTCTTGCTAACAGACTGATCTCTCTTATCCCGACACCTTTTATAAAAGAAATAACAAAGCCAAGCCACACCCATACCCAACGGAATATAAATGAGCACCATCTGTAGCCATTGTATCACTACAGTCTCGGTTGGGTACCCATCGGTTGAAACTAGGTGATAAATTCGTATCGTACACATATTAATCAGGGCCATATTTACGAATATTAGCAGAGCAGCAATGTTGTGAAGCTTTTTTTGAAACGGTTGTACTATCGCTTGTATCATGATGATGACAATCAGAGCAATCTCTAGTAAGAAGTAATATTGAACAATTGATGTTGCAATGACCAACAAGGCCAGTATTAATACCCGATAAAAGAAATAGAGCCCGGAAAAGAAGCGATATTCGTCCTTGAAAGCACCTTGAAACGAGTCGAGAAGAGGCTTTAGCTTATAATGCAAGGCAGTGTACGGCCTTTTCCTTCTAATGAACATAAAACGAAGAGACAATCTACTCTCAATCTTCAACAGCAGACCATCAAAGGAAAGCATGATAGGAAAAGGAATCACAAAAAGCAACAAACACATGAGAGCAGGTATTGCATACCAGAGATGCTGAGAGCTAAAATATTCCAGCGAGCCGTCCCAAAAGACAATGTCTTTATAAGTTGTAGTACCAATCCCTCGTGGTGACTCTCTATTGAGTAACAAGAATGTCACTCTGGAGCATTGGAAGTATGATATTACTAGGAAGGCAGTGAGGCCTTGAACTACTGAATAACTGACGGTATTCTTACGGCAGCACTTATACTTGAGCCCACACATGCAGTGTTTGAACATAAAGACGAACCCCATTATTAGGACAATGGCGTACATCACTGATACGTATTTCATACTAATCATATCCAGTGTCCCAGCTCCTTTCCATAGACAGAAGGATAGCTCGTCGATATCAAAGAAATCAAGATTAAGCATGTTGTAGAGTATAGTGTAGATACTGCGGATAAAGGAAGGCTCAAATTGTACCCCGCCATTGACCGAAACGACCATAGCTTGGAGTAACTGTATCATGAATAAGAAGTTATAGGCCAGTCCTGTGGTGAGGCTTATATCAAAGTAAACAATAGCAAAGAACAAGCAGGTGACTGGGATTATTTCGCTTAGAATGTAAAATATGAATCCTGCATTGCAGAGATCGTCTGGGCCACATTTTGAAGTCTCTGAATGGAAATAAACTGAGTATCCTTTCTTGCATTGGCTGCATACCGTCCCTCGTCTATTTTCAGCACAAACAATTTCTTCAACGTCTGTTTTTGATGCTTCCTTAGTTAAAAGGTAATACTCTTTATTTTTAATGCTACCATCAGTGTTGTTAAAGTACCGACAAAATCCCAAAGGACAGTCAGTGGTATAAAGATTATCCTGATTAGGAGGCTCCATCTCATAAGACAGAATATATCCAATCCAATATCCAGCAAGACCCACTGCTAATCCTTCATTGTCTTTACAACCAATGATGCCATTGTAGTTGAGGGACTTGTTATTTTGTGAGGCAGAGCATATGCAACTTGTTGAATTGTATTCAATGACATAACCAGGAGGACATGACGCTAGTTTGATATCAATGCTAGCACTAACTTCAGAGCCGTGGTGGGTAGAAGCCATCAGAGTAAGATTACCTCTCTCTCCTGGCCTACCTGTCATCTCTATCGTGTTATTAGCAACAAATTGAAAGCCTGCTGATATATTGATGTTACTTTCATTTGAAAAAAACGGCTGGAAGGTAGTTATCTTTGTCACATCTTGTCCCATTTCGTCCAAGAGTTTCAAAGGAAGCAAATACTTTCTCCCTGGTATGATGGAAAGAGGTGTGGGCCCATCGACTTCAAAAAAAGAGCCACTTGAAGCAATTTCGCTCCTCTCACTCATATTGCTAACGAAATCAAACGTTCCCATACAAGTCTGGTTAACAAAGAGGTCGTTTGGCTTTGAAATGGACCCAAATTGAGGCAGGCAAGTCAACTGGCATGGTTTGATTGATGTAAAGAATAGCGAGTTGCCTACATCAGTGAAAGCCCTGTTATTTTCAAATGTGAATCTAGCATTGGTAACACTTGAGTAATTGATTTGATCATTAATATATTCAAGGAAGCAATTAAAAGAAGACAAAGGGCCATAGACGTGATTGTTCAATACATAAATGGCTCCACCAATAAAGTCAGCAATGTTATTCTTAAAAATGAACGAAGTGTCATTGTTGTATTTCATTTTAGCGTAACCCACTAAAGCAACGGCCCCGCCATTGGTTCCTGTGTTGTTAGTAAATTCAGTCGTAGCGCCTCTATCAAAGAATGCCGTTCCAGCTATAATGAACAATGCTGTACCAGAGTTGCAAGTGAATGTGTTGTTGCCACTGAAATACACTGTTACTTTAGCTATTATGAACACTCCTATTCCAGCATTAAAAGTATAGGATGGTCTATTAAATGTCTCCTTGTAATGTCTCACAATGGAGTTACTAATAAATGTACAATTCTCAAAAGTTGCCTTGGTACTAAAGAAATGTGAATATTGGCTCCTATAGTTTGGCTCCACTTCAACAGCTGGACTGATGGCACCTGTATTACCCTCCCAAACACAATTAATAAAGCTGACGTGATTGTATTCAGTTATCGGCTTCTTTGGATCCAAAGAGTTACAATATACCAAAGCACCTCCACCATAGTAGCCATTGTTATGATAAAACATTGTACTAATAACTGTCACATTATTATTAGTCGACATTCTATCACCCAAGAAGTAAGCAATCCCAGTAGCCAGGCCAGCACCTCCAAAAGATGTGCTAGTAAGAGAATTAGACAGGAACAGAGAGTCTTTAACAATCAAAGTGTTATCATTGCATAAAGTCTGACAGTGATGAATCATGCCTCCACCAGCGCTAGCCTTGTTTCCAGTAAAATTAGAATTCTCTATATTAAAAAAATTCCCTTGGACATTCCAGACTAGAAGTATACTAAGACCACCACCATAGGTAAAAAGCCAATCCCCTGTACTCAAATTGGTAAGATTGTTCAAGTTGTTGTTGAACGAGACTTCTTGAATATTGTAGTCACCTGCCGTAGATGTGCCTAAGCAAGTACTGGCAGTGACCTCACAAGCAGATACCAGAATTACTAGACCAGAGCCACCATGGACAGTGTCACCATTTGAATCAATTTGTAAAGCAAACGGTAGAGAATTATTCGAAAAAACTGAATTCAATATATCAATACTTCCAGCTGCATTCTTTAGCACTAAACCAGTCCCATAACTATTACTTATTGATACACCTTCCAATGCTATATCAGTGCTAGCAGTAATGAGCATACCAGATCTATAGAGGTAACCATTTAACTGGTAAAGCATTGAGCAACCTGTTATGGCCAGATTATCAAAGGAGACATCTTGACACTCCTCAATAATGAAACCACAATTGTGTTCAGGGTGCGGGCAGGCACAAGTAATAATGGCTGGACCCTCTTCTTTACTGGTAGGAGAAGAAGTGAAAACCAAGTTGCTAACTAAGTGTATTTCAATGACAAAGTCCAATGTAATATTTCCTTCTATAATGACTGAAGTGTCATTCTCCCATTGGTGGATAGTAGAGAAAGACAAGCAAGGAGATTGAATGGAGCCACAAGAAGGCTCATCAGAGCCACTGGATGATATGTATATCTCAAGGGAATTACAGTGAATTAGCAATGAGAAAACTAGCACAAGAAATCCAACCATTTTCAAATCTGGAGAGATAAGCATTAGCCCAACACTTTCCAGATATGGAGAGCTAGTTTTGATAATTACATCTACTGTAATAGCCCACACGTGGCTGACACTATGAGCACATGCTGCATCAATGATTACTAGTACTATAATAAGCTTATATGAGCACACTGATCTATTATGAGTTCTATGCAACATTACTTAAGTGATGCAGGAAATAGAAAAACAAATAATTATCATGCATACATTGCAATTCCCAAAGGACTCATTGCAATAACAACATCTTCATAGCTCATACAATAAAAGCTCTTTAAAAGTAGTAACTATAAAACTTATGTACATTAGAAATGAATAACAAACTCCTATTGCATCATTCCACCATTGAGAATGTAATAATTATTTACTTTTTTTACCACAAATATCATGTATTCATAGTTAATGTGCATTTGTATAAGAATTCCTTACCATGTTCTTCTCATCTTCAGCCCATTTCTTGAATATCTGAAGAGAAAGACCAGCATGCAGCATTCCAGGAGTGGCAAACACAATCTATTATTAATAAATAATAATAATAATAATCATTATTATTATTATTATTATTATTTATTAATAATGCTACCATTGGTCCTGGTTGGTCAATATATGATCTATCAAAAGCCTACAGGTAGGTATAATAAGAAATCATGAAGTTATATAGTTACAATTATACACAGCAAATTGTACGTGGACTTATTTTGATGTACTTTAATATGCTTGAAATCAAACATGTTCCTATGAATGAAAGTGTTCTTTATCTTCTGGTTGGTCCAACTTATGAATAATTTATAATAATGATTGGCCTATGGAGGAGAGAGAGAGAGAGAGAGAGAGATGACATGAATGCAAAATTAAATGCTTTGCCTTCTCTGTCAGTCCAGTGGAGAAGTATATCGGATATTTCAGATTCATCCTTTCCCTAATAAGAATGCTAAAGAGATGAGAATGAGCTAAGCTAACCAGTAAGACTCCAATAGTATACAAAGTTCCTGTGCTCTTCCTAATGCAAATACTGGTATCAAAACCTAAAAATAAATAAATAAATAAATGAAATAGTTAATCAATTACTTTGCCATCTCTTTCAAGACATTCATGCAGCTTCTTCAAAAAATCTCTTTCCCTACACCTAAAAGTTTTAAAAATTAGACACTCTCTCTCTCTCCCTCCTTCTCTTCCAAACCTCTTGGAGTCTCTAATTGTCGTTGCATAAGTTGATTCAGTGATAAGAAGATCAGGCCTACACCTGTCAATCCAGGCTGACCTGTTATGTAATTATAACAATAATGAAGTACACGTATATGCATGTGTACAAAGTTCTTACCCCAAGTGTCGATCAGGTGTCATATTGTAGTCGCCCTAAAATGACCACACCTACTGATGACCACACCCATCAATGACCACACCTACTTACCGTATATACGACTGATTGATGTCCTACTCTGACGTGAAACATTGCAGCTCCTAGTACATGGCCGGCATAGTAAGCCTTAATCTCTAACTGATCATCAACCTATGGTACATGTACATGTAACATGATTAGAAAAACTATCATTATTATTATAATCATCAAAGTGTCTAGACTATGATGACGGAAATAAACAGTATTTTGTCTTCTCCACAATAAATTGAAATTTTTAACTTATCTCTTCAAGTCAAAATATTCAGTTAAAGACATTGCAACTGGTTTAAGTACATAATAGTCACTGTCAAAATCACCCCGGGCCAAGTTTTTATTACATTTTCTGATACATATTGATGCCCTTATGCTGTGTAGAAAGTTTGAGCTGATGCCGACTTCAATTTTTGAAGTTACGGCCATTTTAAGAAAACGTCAAAAATCTGAAAAATACCCAAGGCTATAGCCCATGGTTTTTTCCAAAAAATGGCTCCAAAATCACCCCCAATTTTTATTACATTTTCTGATACATATTGATGTACTTATGCTACATAGAAAGTTTGAGCTGATTTCAACTTTATTTTTTAACTTACGGCCATTTCTAAAAAGTAGCAAACACCATTTTTCCTTATATCACTAATATTATTATCAGTGCTAATAAGTCTCAGTGTAGATAGTTTAAAAAGAGAGCTAACACTACATAACATTATTTCAATAACAAATAATACCTTCACACACTGATGCAGGTTAACCGTGATGACTTTCCTCATACAATCTTTGATCATTTGAGAAGTAAAGAAGTTCTGCTCTCCTTTCTTATCGACACAAACTCGTCTAAAGTCCTCCAGGAGTACAGGACATATAGCTTTAGTTGGATGAGTCATATAAATGGGGCCGTTGTAGCCACACATCTCTGTAAAGTATGGCAAAGCTCCACAGTGATCCAGATGAAAATGACTATGTTGATTAATTAATTGGGTACTTAATTAATTAATTGATGGGTTTTGACCCCGCCCACCTGAGTATGACGCAATTGATGTAATCGTGCAGAGTTTGTCCAGTATCTGTGATGTAAGTGAAATCAGGGAAACGTCTCTACAAAATAAAAGAACGATAAATGCAGTTATTATTAAATAAATACGTCTTTTTTAAGCCACTCAAATGAGATCCATTGCTTTTTAAAGATAGGATTGTTCCTATGTTTCATTAAAACGATTCCTTATGCTAAAACCAGTGCTGACATTAAAAGTGTTGTATTTTAAGGATATATATCATCGTCAACTCTTAATGGAAGCAGGAAATGAGAAGCGACAATAGTGGCCCTTATAAAATATTACCTCGTCGTTGTATCCCATGTGCATTCCACAGTCAAACATAATGTTCTTTCCTCCCATTGATACTAGAATGCAGCTACGACCCACATCTAAAATATATCATCATGAAATACAACTTTAAATGACCCCTTATACCTTGCCCCGCTCCTACATGAAGAAAAATGCATCAAATTATTTAAAACAATAAGCATTTATCTCACCTAAAGGAACTATCCTAATGTCAGACATTTTGTTTTAAAAATTACTAGAGAAAAGACCCACCATCCTATTTATTAGGATCATAGCGGCAAGCATGAATACACACATCACGTGAATCTCTTTAATTTTGGCGCCACACAACCAGTTTGACAGGCTTCCCAAACCGGTTTGACTCAACACGTGACTGGTCAGCCAGAGAGTATATAAAGAGCTCATTTCTCAAACGGTCTCAGTGCGGAGCTTTCTGCCGAAAGGACTGGAGTGCACGGAGACATATACGGAGAGTAGGTGGAGACCTCTAAAGTGAAGAAATGATGGAACAAAATGTCTCTCCTCCACGTTTAGAAAGCAGAAGCTCGTCCGCTACACCCATGCTCAATCCAGGGTACGAGACGTCCTTACTTGTTGTCTGTAGGATTGTACCTTAGGACTAACACACGAACTGTCCCCATAAGCTTAAGTTGTATTACACGTGGCATTTTGTCCTATTTCTGTGTATAAAGTGTGAGAAAAGCCTCTTGATACAACACTAAGCTTTTGACAAAGACTTTTATGTACATTAACAATTATAAGCCCCTTCATTACATTATCTGCTGTGTGCGTGTATTGATATACTGGTGTTTTAAATCGTCTGCTAATTCTAGCAAGGAATATTTAAAGGATAAGTTGAAGTGACATTTGAAATAATAACATCATTAATTATTAGGCGCTAAAAGTAGTAGATTTGAACCCTCGATAGTAAAAATCTTAGAATTAGTACATAAATGGTTAATTAATAATATATTTATTATTTACATGTGTCTGTAGGTTGGTGGCTACTCAAGCCACGCCCACTACAGTACCCGCCATGTTGGTACAGAGCGGAAATGTTCAGAACGTTTCGTTTCAGCAGCAAGGAGGAGGAGGAATTAATAGTGTCCCCACTAACCTTACGTCATACACATCCATCATCGATCCATCACAGCTACTCGTAAAAACTGAAGGCGTCACGTCCGCGTCACCTCTATCTGTAGGCGGGGCCAATCGAACCACACCCCCTACCCTCGTCACAGGTACGGGCTCAATCACAGCCACACCCACTGCATACACAACAGCCGTCACTACATCAGCCACTTCTACTACAACTGTGGGCGGGGTTACAGGAGGAAGCATTTTAGGTAAAAGAATCAGGCGTACTTCAACAAAGTATGATGACTTTGAACAACCTTTAATGGTGAGAGAGAGAGGGAGGAAGAGAGAGAGGGGAGAGAAAAAGGGAGGGAGAGAGAAAAAGGGAGAGAGGAGAGAAGAATTGAAGCATGTGTGAAAATTGAAGACATTTTTATAAATCCTTTTATTCCAATTAGCGCCCGTCTAAAGTGGAAGCGAAGGAATCCTCAGAGACAAGAGAGAAGACGCCGTCAGAGAAAACAACAGAAGAGGAAGGGAAAGGAGGAGGGAACAGATCAACAAACCAGCTCCAGTATCTAAAGAACGTTCACAGGATCATTTGGAGACACCATTACGCATGGCCGTTTCATAAACCAGTCGATCCAGTTGCTCTTAACATCCCTGTAAGACACAAATACTATATAAAGACAATTTCTTATTATTATTTTTTAGTAATTTAGTATAATATATTTATTATTTTGTGCAGGATTATTTCAACATTATTAAGAGACCGATGGATTTAACTCTCATAAAGAAGCAGTTGGATCACAATGGCTACAGCTCTGCTAAGGAGTGCATACAAGACTTTAAGACAATGTTTAACAACTGCTACACTTACAACAAACCGACCGACGTTAGTGTAGGCATTAAATAGAATAGATATAGTGACGGGCATTAATTGGAGACTTTATAGTTATCTTGTAGCAATATACGTAGGCTATTATATTAATTAGAAGTTAGGTTATTGTGTAATGTAGAAATTAAGGTTTCTTTACTTAAAATGGTCAAAGACTACTTGCTAATGTGTATATATGACGGATCTCATTTCATGTAATACCAATGTGTTAAGATTAGCATATTATGACCTTTTGTCTGAAGTATCTTTAAAGTTTAGCTTTATACAGTTACGAATGAGTAGTCCTGTACAGGTACAACTGCTGATGTACATGTATTAATGATGTTTTAAGGTGGTATGGTATTACAGTTATTGTGTGTACAGCGAATGGCAGTATAGTTAGTTTGTCATTATAAACTCGCTGAAATTAACCAATCAAGCGGTCTGTACTCATCATGTAATATCATAAGTACATTTACACATACATAGCTTCATATGCTTGGGGTACATGTACATATCTATTTTCACTCTCTGTTCTTTCTTGTAGGATGTTGTTTTTATGTGTCAAGCTTTGGAGAGACTGTTTGACCAGAAGGTGACTGGAATGCCAGCAGAGGTTAGAGGGAGGGTGATGGTCTTAAAAGAATCATGAATCAGAATTGAGAAATCGATATACTGTTATGATCTTTATTATCATTGTTAGGAGTTTGAGATTGTTCCTGGTCAAAAAGGCAGAAAGCCTGGACCTAAAAGCAATGCTGGAAGGAGAACCAAAATGGCCGGTATACAACTTTACGCTAGTACATGTATCTACATGTATATCTTTATTCTTTTCCATGCAGCGGCTGAGTCTACTGTTAATCTCGATAGTCCTGGAGACGTGTCTCTGGTCTCATCAACAAGTTCAACAGTACAGCCACCTTTAGTCCCTGCTCCTTTATCAACCACAACACAACCTGTCATCAAGGTGAGGATATACATGTCAACACGTGTAGGATGGTGTAGACTGGTGTGTCTATTGTGAGTCTAATGATGTAATGGGTCTATGTTAACATGGTCTTTAGCATCCCACCTATACCACACAACATGTGTTATATTGTCAGTATTAGATCATCCTTCAAGGCATTAGGTGTAGAGTGGCCTGTTTAATCCAGTGTAACACTGGTTCAATCTGACCATGTACATGTACATATACTTGTAATGAAACCTTATTAATAGTAAAGGTATTGGGGGATTACAGCTACTTGTCGTCACACAGGCTGTATGTAGTCTAATTGAATTAAGAATATTGATGAATGTACTGTAGTGATGATAAGGAGTGGTATTTGTACATTACAAGGTTATAATGATTATTAATATTTTCTCTCTCTCTTCCTCTCCTTCCAGAGGAAAGGTGTTAAGAGACAGGCTGATACAACCACTCCTCATTCTGGTCAGCCCAGCCCCACCAGCGGAGTACCACTAGACCAACCTCCACCGCCCGCGGTCGTCGTAGCCAGTACACCAGTACACATACTATCGTCCGCTGTACCCACGAGAAGGGAATCAACCCGTACTATTAAAAGACCCAAACTTGACTTACCTGGTGAATCCTCCTATGGAAGAAAGAGACCGCTGACTGTACAGTTGAGATACTGTCTCTCTATAGTGAAGGACTTCTTTAGTAAGAAGCATCAGGCTTCTGCTTGGCCATTTTATAATCCGGTGGATGTCAAAGGCCTTGGTCTTCATGATTACCTTGATATTATCAAGCAACCAATGGACCTCACTACTTTAAAGGTAAGAGGAGCTATACAGCTCATATTACAATTAAGATCAACATGTAGTCAATACATTTGTACTTGGTTTTATTATTATTATTATTATTATTATTATTATTATTATTATTATTATTATTATTTTAGAAAAAGTTGGAAGACCGTGAATACGAAGATCCCTCTCAGTTTGCGGCAGACATGAGGCTGATATTCACTAACTGTTATAAGTACAACCCGCCAGAACACGACGTCGTTAAAATGGCACGGAAAGTTCAAGTAAGAAACACTAACTGATAAATGTACTGTGACTTCAGCTGCATACATGCACTTATGATATACTGTACATGTATATGTAGTCTATTTATTGTTATTTCATTCATCAATCACTCTTATTATTATTATTTATTTATTTATTTATTTATTTATTTTCAGGATATTTTTGAGTTCAAGTTTGCTCGTATGCCTGAAGAGCCACCTCCAGCTCCTCCAAAGAAGACATCGATAAAGATGAAAACCGGAGGTACATCATTAATATACCAGTACATGTACCGTATTTATGACTAGGATTGTATTGCTAAGTCTTTACTTTTAATTAACCTAAAATTCCACCCACAGGATCCTCTGATTCCTCCTCAAGCGAAAGTGAGGACAATGATTCAAGTGAAGAGTCAGACAGTGAGTCGGAGAGAGCCAGTCAGCTCAGTAAACTCCAGGAGCAGGTCATCATGGTCTCCAAGCAGTTAGCTGCTCTCAGTAAAAAAGGAGGAGGAGGGGGTACTCCTACCCTCGGGATCGACGCTAACTTTGCCCCTTTCCTCTCACCTGCCCCGTCCAAAGAGAAGAAGAAGAAGAAGGACAAATCAAGCAGAAAAGGAAAGAACAAACCCGTACCTTCGACTTCTACACCATTACTGCCAACACTCCAACCAAAGAAATCAAAGTACGACACAATGAATGTTCTTATATTATAGAGCTTTATTGCATTATTATGTACATGTACTGGGTCTATGTAATATCACCTAATATAAATTCATGTATTAATACTTGGACTAGCCATCAAGGCACATTCTGAATGACCTTGCCTGCCCTAACTTCCTGCCTCTACTAATTAAATTAATTATTAATATTTGTGTACTTTATGTGTATAGTATACTAGCTGTTTATCACAATACTAGTAAACACTGTACCATTCTTAGTATCTTTTATGTGTACAAATTCTTAGTATTTGTATGTGTGTACATGTACATGTATTTTGTCAGGGGTTACTACTCTAATTAATGTCACACCAGGTTTTGAATCTCATGATTATTTTCTCTCCCTCTCTCTCTCTCTCTCTCTCTCTCCCTCCCTCTCCCCCTCTCTCTCCCTCCCTCCCTCTCTCTCTCCCTCTCCCTCTCCCTCCAGATCAGCTAAGAAGAGGACCCCACTAAACTGGCAGCCTAGTTCAGACGAAGAAGATGTGAAGCCGATGACTTATGACGAGAAGAGACAGTTGAGCCTTGACATAAACAAGCTCCCTGGTGTGACATTAAATAGAGTAGTCCACATTATCCAGATGAGAGAGAGGACGATCAAGGACGGGAATCCTGACGAGATCGAGATAGATTTTGAGACCCTGAAGCCGGCGACGCTGAGAGAGTTGGAGAAGTATGTTAATTCGGTTCTGAAGAAGCAAAAGCGACCACCAACCAGTAAGTGGCGTCCATTTTGTTACCATGTAAACCTATTTTATCTTTAATCCAAAGACTTTCCATTTTAGCTATAAAATTGTGTTTAATTAAAATGGAAAATTAACACTTATTTTTTACACTTAAATTTTATAGCTAAAACACTTAAATTTTAATTAAACACTAAATATGTGTTTATTAAAATGGGCGTGGTACCCTACCGGATTTAGCCACACCCATTAATTAATTAATTATAATTCCTGTATAACTTGCATTATGCCTGCAGTATCTCACAGTGTATAGTGTGTATTGTACAGGGACAGTATATTCTTGAGGTATTTCTCCGTGTGGACATGATTCATCTAGTTCATGTCTCACTCCTCAAATATACCTCACATTAATACATGTACATGTACTGTATATATATATCGTTATTATTATTGTTATTATCATTATTTTTAAAATTCGTAAAAAAAATACAATTTTGATCGGAATCAACTCAAACTTTCTATGCAGCATAAGTACATGTATATGCATCGGAAAATGTAATAAAAATGGAAAATTATCTCCTTTTCATTTTTGGCAAATTTTGGCTAACATCCCTGTACTATAGTACAGGGACTTTTACCCGATTTTGGAGCAACTTTAAAAATATAATTTCGATTAGAATTGGCTCAAATTTTTTTGTACAATTATTATTATTATTATTATTATTATTATTATTAATAGATAAGTCAATGGATGCCGCAAAGAAAAGAGCCGAACTGGAGAAGAGATTACAGGTAGGTGGAGTGACCACACCCACCACTAATTAATAAACATCCTAGGACGTCAGTGGCAAGTTGGGCGGGGGCAGCGGAATGCCAAAACTACCAAAAACCAAAAAAAGCAAAAGTAACAAATAAAAATATTTAATTTTATAAAAAATATTCTATTGTGTCTTGCTTAACCTTTTTTCCTCTGTTCTCAAGGTGACGCTAAAGGTTCTAAAGATCTTAAATCCTCACGATTGAGCGATTCCTCCAGCTCTTCAGACGATGATAGCGCCAACGAAGAAGAAAGCTCCAGCGGAACCGGATCAAGTACGAGCTCATCAAGCGACGAAGAGAAAGATGGTAATAAGAACTGAGAGCTGACCCCACAAATTGTAATAGAACAATAATAGAAGGAATAAGAGAGTAGCTGGCAGTTGATTGCTACTAACTAATACGTGTATTATAATCACATTGAGATAGTATAAAGGACTCTTAGTTTGAGCATTCATTAACTTGTGTATCATTTAATTAATATATACAAGTATTGTATTTATTTGGACAATAATATCTGTGTACATATTGTGTTGAAATGGAAGCACTCTCTCTCTCTGTGTTTATGTGTATATAACTTGATTCACTCATTTATTTAATATAAAAACCGCTTAAATTAAATAATTGGTTAATTATAAAGTGGGTGGGGCCTCAGTTTTATAAGGGGAAGTCCCTCAATGTCTGTACGTGCTGTGTGTTGTTGTTAATTATGTGTGTGGGCGTTATCATAATGTTTTTTGTTTCTATAGTTAAACCAGTACAGAAGGCAAGGACACCTCAGGCAACATCAAAGGTAAGTGGCCACACCCACTGACCCACCCATTAATTATAATAATTAGCCGATTGCTCCAGCTTATCAGACGACTTCTGCGGCTTCAATTATCGGTAAATAAGCCACACCTACTTTTTATTAATTAATTAATATTTATGTATTAGGTCGTAGCCAATCAAAAAGCTCTCTTACTACAGTGCCTGCGGGCGGAGCTGTGGCCCCACCCCCTACTAAAGATGCTGCCCCGCCCAGTCCTGGTTTTCAAGAGCCGATAGAAATGGGCGGAGTCAAGAAGAGGGCGATACCCTCGGCTGATTCAAGTTTTGCACAATTTAAGAAACAAGCACTTGAGAATGCTGAACGGGTAATAATAATAACGATAATAATAATAATAATAATAATAATTAATAATAATAATAATAATAATAATAATAATAATAATAATAATTCATTTTTAGGAGAAGGCGAACAAGCAGCAGGAGGACCTAAGGAAGCAGCAGATCATGTTAATGCAACAAAACAAGAAAGAGACAGAGAGCAAGTGAGACTCTTAGTGCATCAATATGTATTGGGAAATGTAATAAAATTTGGGGTGATTTCGGAGCCATTTTTATGGAAAAAAAAACATGGGCTATAGCCTTGGGCATTTTCCAGGATTTTGGCATTTTCTTAAAATGGCTGTAACTTGAAAAATTGAAGTCGGAATTACCTCAAACTTTCTACACAGCTTAAGGGCATCAATATGTATCAGAAAACGTAATAAAAATTTGGGGTGATTTTAGAGCCATTTTTTGGATAAAAACCATGGGCTATAGCCTTGGGTATTTTTCAGATTTTGGCTCATTTTTTTAAATGGCCGTAACTTGAAAAATTGAAGTCGGAATCAGCTCAAACTTTCTACACAGCATAATCAAAGTCCACCGTTAATAATGATCATTATCATTAATTAGGAGTAATACTGCATCTCCGGTTGGAGGAGGGGGCGGGGCTGACAGTGGGGGCATGAACAGCCCAGTTGATGAAGTCGAGAGAGAAAGATTGAAAGAGAAACAGAGACAGGAGAGAGAAAAGGTAGCCGTTACCATAAATAGTAACAAATGTAGTAATTATTATTATTTTATATTAGATGAAGCAACAAATTGATATGACTTACCAAAATGATCTGATGAGTCAGTTTGAGATGACCATGTACTGAAGACACGATGACGTCATAATTACATCATTATAATAATCTCGTTTCATGTTATTATTATTATTATTATTATTATTATTATTATTATGTATTACATGTACGATGATTAAGGACACATTGATTAAATTGATTATCGTCTTTCTTTTTGTAATTATTATTATTGTTATTATTATTTATTATTGTTGTTGTTGTGACTCTTACGTTCATGTTGAACTTTATTTATTATTTGACTGTAGTCAAGTTCTTTCATTATCTCAAACTTTATCAAGAATAATCTGAATAAAACAATTAAATTTTGGCAAAAAATAATTACTTAATTATTATTCATAGATTAAAGACACGCCCATTCAATTGGGAACGCCCATTCCAAAAAATACGCATCCTGTTTGAAGAGGGTGTAGTAAAAAATGGCGGACCTTTTCTTCACGTGAGCTTTGAGCCATATCTCGTGTAACTCTTCTCCAAGTACATCCGTGGCGGCAAATCACAGAACCTTTTAAACAAACCTCACCTTCTGGGCTAGGACTACTTGCAAAAACTAGAGCAGAGCTGAGAAAAAGCTTAAATACTGGTGACCCGCCCACCCCTTGTTGCGTTTGAAAGAAAGAGAAAGATGGAGTTATCCACTCGGGCTGGAGATGATGGGGTAGACCAGAGCGTGGTTGAGACTGTAGAGGTGGTGGCTGGCTCTAGTGGGACAGGAGGGGCTGGCGGAGGGGAACAAAGGGTCCTGAGTCCAGGAGGAACTGAAACCACTTTAAGGATAATCAGTCCGCAACTCTCCATTCCATCTTCTGGGGTAAGACCACACCCATTGGCCCACCCATTTGTACATGTTCATGTATAATAATAGATTTGTCATTCATAAGTATTAACACTTGAACTTACGTGTACGTGTTTTTGTGTTATGTCATGTTTTTGTGTTTCCGTTAGATCATTGAGATTGATCCTCAGGCACTTAGTTCTCTTGTTACTCCCAATTTTGACGTTTCCACGGTGACCTCGCTCTCCCTAGCAACGAACCCGGCAACCACCCTCTCTGGTTCCGGACTACAAGAGAGTCTTGATAGCAGAGTAAAGAGAACACATGATGAAATGTGAGGATCTCTCTCTCTCTCCCTTCCTCCCTCTCTCCCCCCCCCTCTCTCTCTCTCTCTCTCTCTCTCTCTCTCTCTCTCTCTCTCTCTCTCTCCCTCCCTCTCTCTCTCTCTCTCTCCCTCCCTCCCTCTCTCTCTCCCTCTTTCTCTCTCCCTCTCTCTCTCTCCCTCTCTCTCTCTCCCCTCTTCCTTTTTCTTTTATCAACACAAATGTGCATACTTTCATAAAATGCATTAGTTTGTTCATTGCTACAATGCTGTTATTCTAATTAAATGCTTTGTTTGCCTTTTAGGATAAGAGATACTCCCACTGCAGGAACAACTCCTGATGTACCCAGGAAGAAATCTAGAGTACGTGGGAGAGAGAGAGGGGAGAGGAGGAGAAGGATTAGTATAGTTTAATTTTGGCATTATTGTACTGAAATTGTTACGATAAAGACATGTTACTGTACATGTACAAAGCTATGAATTAGTCTATGCATGTACATGTACATTGCTGTAATGCTGTGTGTGCATCAGTATGGACTGTGAATCTGTGAATATGTTCATGATCTCTCATCTAGTATTACCTTGACTCTCACAAGTCCATTGAGAAGAAGAGGCGTGACAGGATTAATAATGGACTACAGACTCTTAAAGATATTGTACCAAACTGCAGGCAATACTCATCACAAGTTAGACTCCATTTAATAATCATGAGGATCCTTCATTGCTTCTAGTCTACTATCTTCTCTTTCTTCATGATTGTATTACATGTAACTCTATTTCCTTCTCTCCCTTTTCCTCTCCACTCTCTCCCCTCTCTCCCTCTCTCTCTCTCTCCCTCCCTCTCTCAGGGTAGTAAGAAGTTAGACAAAGCTGAGGTCCTAGAGATGACGATTGATTACATTCAAAGACTTCAACAAAACCAACCAAGCAACACAGGTATGACCTATTTATTATTTATTTATTTATTTATTTATTTATTTATTTATTTATTTATTTATTTATTTATTGGTTTATACAAGTAGATATTGAGGCGTCACAGAGAGAGCTTATAAATGATTTGATGTCCTGGATATTTCAAAATAAATTGTTATACACCGGACCCAATGGAGTAGAGCAGTTCTCTAATGCTTTACTCCTTCACCTTCAAAGCTTGAGCTCTTCACCAACTGTCAGCACTGCTACTGGTCTCATGTATAACCAGGTAGTGTTGTATGTACATGTACAGTGTAGCCTCTCTTAATGGACACTCTCTATAGCGTACACCTCCATTTAACGGACAGCACCTAGTGTACCAATTACATTCCTTACTGTATAAAATAACCTCCACATAAAGGACACCTCTGTATAACAGAGACACAGTGTCCATTATATAGAAGCTACACTATATTTATTATTATTATTATTGCATTTATTTATTTTTACTTTTTCCTTAGTATTCTGATGGAGGAGGTAGATCAGCATCAGAAGATGAGCAGCATTCCTTAGCTAACACTAACAATGTTCTCCTTCAGCAGCTAGCCAGTGCTACTGGGAATACCTCAGAAACTGCCGAAGAAAGTAACGAAGAACTCTCCGAGAAAGAAACCAACGAGACTCAAGGAGCCACGCCCTCTACTGCTGGACAAGGAGGCGTGTCTGGTAGCGTGAGTCAACAGCAGAACCAGCTGGCACAGTTACAAGCGTTACTGTTGTTACAGCAACAACACCAGCAGCTGTATCAGGGGGGCGGGGCAGGGGGTGGGGCTACTGGCGGAGGAGCAGAGGGGACAGGGGGAGCTGGTAGTGCTAATGTCGACACACAACAAGTAAGAGAAGAATTAAAATTAAAAAATTAAGAGACAATTATAATTTTTAAATACTATAATGTCAAGTCAATGAATATCATTATCATTAATTAGATTCAGCAGTTACAACAGCTTCACCAATTGCAGACTCTCCTACTTCAACACCTCACGACTGAGAAACAGCCGACGCCTTTACAGGAAGTGGGCGGGGACGGGAGCATCAACGTAACACCCTCACAGTCTGTAATGGTTAGATTGATTTATTTATTTTATTATTGTTTTAATTTGGCTGATGGCCATTTGTTGTAAAATTGGTGGGTTTTGTATTTGGCAGCAGCTGTAGGATACAATTCTATGTATAATGTTTAAAGAATCATGTACATGATCCAAAATTGATAAAATAAATAAAGAAAATAATTAAGTACAATGTTATTAATTTTTTGTGATAATTCCTACCATTTTACTGACTTACCTACCCCTCTCTCTCTCCAGGTCAGTACTGGCGGTATAGACAGCACTCATGATTCTGTTGGTCTATCTCTAACAAGTGAACTAGGATCCACCACTGCTGTGTACGCCACTGATGAGTCTCTGGTAGTGGGCGGAGCTTCAAATGAAGGGTCTTCACAGATGTGGTCTCAGACCAGTAACACTGTACATCATGGTATGTCATTAGGGGGGCAAGGGGGCATGAATTTCTGTGAAATTTTTATGCTAATTTTGATGATAAATTTCGCCTTTTTTTAGAGTCGCCGCTGCTGATGGAAAATGAAGGCGGAGTTCAGGAAGAGGTGGAGCTACTTGAACAAGACAAGGCTAATTTTTAACCCTTTCTGAACACAGATAGTATTATTAATAGACACACCCATCCCTTTACAGACTAGAGCTACGCACTCGGAACACTTTTTTAATAAAAAGCTTTTTATGAGATTTAATTAATAAAAATTGTTGTTATTAATTTAATGGCGTGGGCGTTATGCAGCCTTTCTAATGACCTGTTTTTATATTCATTATATACCGACTGGCTATTATTGGCATTTTCTTAAAATGGTCGTAACTTGAAAAATTGAAGTTGGAATCACCTCAAACTTTCTACACAGCATAAGGACATCAATATGTATCAAAAAATGTAATAAAAATTTGGGATGATTTCGGAGCCATTTTTTGGAAAAAACCATGGACTATAGCCTTGGGTATTTTTCAGATTTTGGCTACTTTTTAAAAATGGCTGTAACTCGAAAAATTGAAGTCGGAATCACCTCAAACTTTCTACACAGCATAAGTACATCAATATGTATCAGAAAATGTAATAAAAATTTGGGGTGATTTCGGAGCCATTTTTTGGAAAAAACCATGGACTATAGCCTTGGGTATTTTTCAGATTTTGGCTCATTTTTTAAAATGGCTGTAACTCAAAAAATTGAAGTCGGAATCAGCTCAAACTTTCTACACAGCATAAGTACATCAATATGTATCAGAAAATGTAATAAAAATTTGAGGTGATTTTGGAGCCATTTTTTGGAAAAAACCATGGACTATAGCCTTGGGTATTTTTCAGATTTTGGCTCATTTTTTTAAATGGCCATAACTTGAAAAATTGAAGTCGGAATCACCTCAAACTTTCTACACAGCATAAGTACATCAATATGTATCAGAAAATGTAATAAAAATTTGGAGTGATTTCGAAGCCATTTTTTGAAAAAAAAAAAACCACAAACCCATGGTTTGTACTTTGTTCCCTAAAATTTGCTACTTAAAAATGTTCATAGATAACTCTAAAAATCAATTTTATTTGGAATCAGTAATTAAATTAGCTTAGAGCCACGCCCATCATGTGATTGTGATTGCAAGCTGCCAAGCTGGTGATAAATGGTAATATCGTTGTACTCAGTATTGGCAGATGAACTGTTTCTCTTCCCTTTTAGGCCAGCCTCAATGAACAACTGATAGTCAACGAAGAAGAAGAAGAGAAGACAGACAAGAGTCACCACATCATGTCTTCAAGTGAGAAGAGCGAAAATGAGAGAGAGAGAGGGAGAACCTAAAATTTGAATATTGCTGCAGCATTTTTGTTGCTTCCTCCCCCTAAAACGAGCCCTAAAAGGCTTATATATATGTATAAGTTATAATATTTGTCTCAATTTTTGAAAAGTCATTTTCTTTTTTCAGTGGCAGCTGGTCTTGAAGATGACAGTACTAGTGAAGCAACTCCATTATTGTATCGACGTGTCACTGTCAACCATACAAGAGTAGACCCAGAGGTGGCCATATTGCAGGCTTCCGTATTTATTGAAGACGGAATCCATTATAGATCAATTCATCACAAGATTGATCCTTTGTAAGATAACGTTGTGTTTATTTTATCTCTACTTTGATTGTTTGGTAAACATCATCAAGTTATACTTTCTCTCTCTCCCTCTCTCTCTCTCTCTCTCTCTCTCTCTCTCTCTCTCTCTCTCTCTCTCTCTCTCTCTCTCTCTCTCTCTCTCTCTCCCTCTCTTTATCCAGGTCACTAAAGTTCTACAATATATATCATTCTTTTCTGGTCCAGTGTTTTCTAAACATTACAGTCTTTATAATCCTGATCCTCGCCTTCTTTGAATACCCAACCTCGTTGAAACTCTCCTCTGATTATCGCTACGCTAACATCACGCCCACACTTCGTGAGCCGCCATGTGGTGCCACAGAATCAGTCGAAATAGTCTGCCTCGTGATATTTCTAATTAAAGCCCTCATACAGTGTCGGCTGTTGGGTTTGAAAAGGTTCTTCAAGCAACCCTGGCTTGTTTTGTATTTCGTGATGGTCGTGTTATCTTTTTTTGATCTCTCGATATCCTTTGGTTTTTGTGTCCATTCAGGTCAGTCTTCTCTCGGTTCTACTATCCGTATGAGACGTTTCTTTCGTCCGTTCTTTTTCCTCGTCCCGTCCAGTATCATGAAGAAGTTTGTGAAAGCCGTCATGCGAACTTGTGTACAGATATCGAGTGTCTTAGTACTTCTGGTCATTCATTTATATGTGTTTGCGATGATTGGAATGTTGATATTCCCGAGACCACTCCCTCACAGACATGTGAATACTACGGATTGGGACGACAATGAGGAAGAACCCAGAGGGTTTTTATCTCGATATGGCGACTTTTCCGATAAAGAAGGCCAAAGACGTTTTAAATCTGTAGAAGATTCCTTGATATCTTTACTCGTGTTTCTAACGACGGCTAATAACCCAGACGTGATGACACAGATATATCAATACAACAGACTCTCTTTTATTTATTTTTTTATCTTCCTTTGCATCGGTCTCTATTTGATACTCAATCTTCTAACTGCGGCTGTTTATTCCGAGTTTCGTGGCTTCCTAGAGCAGTCGATGCAGTCCAGTTTTGTTAGACGGGTAGTGGCCTACAGAGCTGCCTTTACTGTCCTCGCTCAGTGTTACAGGAGTAATAGTATGACTGATCAAGTAACTAGTAAAGATTTGGTGAGACAGTTACTGCGAAAAGCTAAAATACCCAAAAACCATCTGCCGGCAATGTATACAGCACTGGAAACCGAGGAAGGCTCTTCTGTAATGTGGACAGAGTTTCGGGTGATATTCAATATCATTTCTAAAGACTCAAATAGTCGTTTAGGCGAAGATGTTCATTATTATTCTCGATTTAAAGTGTTGGAGATATTGCAAAAACTAGTTCGACACAACGCTTTTCAATACTTCACAATTTGTATGACCCTGATCCACATAATAATAGTAACAGTCGAAATGGAAAGCGACTATTACAGTGTAGTTAGACAAACTGATTCCGCACTCGCCATTGTAAATTTCATCTTCTTCTTTTATTACATTTTCGAACAGCTCCTAAAAATTATTGGGCTTGGAGGACGAATTTATTTTAAACATTTTTTGCATATTTTTGAAGGCGTCGTTACCATAGCGATCGTCATCACAGAGATAACCATCCTTGCCATGTTTGGGCATCCTTTTCATCACTCCGAGTCAGAACCACCAAACTACGCCACTTTGATTCGAGTAATGAACTTATTCATTGTATTCCGAATGCTACGAATCATACCACAAGTTAAATCGGTTTCTTTCGTGTTCGGAACTATGGTCGAAATCGTGAAAAACCTTCGAGCTTTTGCCGGAATTATCATCGTCATTTATTACCTTTTTGCTCTTCTTGGAATGGAGATATTTGGGAGGAATCACAAATTAGAAAATGACACTTCTCCAGCTGCTTACAGGTGTGGTACATACGAGCAGCTGGAGTATTATTCTTATAATTTTCATGATTTTGCTGCTTCGCTTGTAATCCTTTGGAATATCATGGTTGTCAATAATTGGTCAGTTTTTCTCGACGCTTTCTCTCGCTCAGCCACGAAATGGTCTCAGCTTTATTTCGTGGCATGGTGGCTTGTAGCCGTCATCATAATTGTGAATCTATTTATATCACTGGTAATTGAAGTCTTCTTGACAAGATGGGAAGCGTATCACGAACATAATAAAAGAAAAAACGGCGAGGACAACAGAGCAAGTGTTGTATCTGATATTCCACTTCTGGAGTCAACTGCGACTCCGTTTTCTGCTGGTAGCGACATCAGAGTGCTACTGAGAAAGAATTTAACGGACCCTCCGGAGAGCGATTTGTTGCATGAGATTCATAAACACAGCGACTTATTGTAGCAATGATGAGATGATGTTTATTGTAAATTATAATTATTGAAGTCGACCGATTCCAGTCTGCTGGAGTAAATACTAAGTGACTATTAATTTTATCATTTAGTAATTAATGTTAATGTTTTTTTTTTCAATAATAATGATTTATACAAAAAAATGAAGTATCCACACTAAAAATAGTGTCTTTCAATTAGCAAGCACAACGATCTGACCTCTCCGACCGACCTCTGTTCTGATCCATAATGATACTGTCTTGTGGATCTGTAGCAAGAGATAATTTAAGAGAAAGACATGATTGACAAATTATAGAAAAGAAAGAAATGACGGAACAAGAAAATTATAAGAGAAAAGGTATAGAGGAGAGAGAGAGAGAAGGAGGGAGAAAGTTTATGGAAATGTAAGTCAAGGATATTTAAAGTTATGAGCAACAGGTCGATACTGGACTATAAACACTAACCACTTCTTGGGCTGTCTTTACTCATTATAAGTCCAATGACTGTATTGAATGCATCCTCAATCTGAAAACAAAATAAATATATTTACAATACGATACAAACACTCACTAATACAGTACATATAATATACTTATACATCCACAAGTCTAATAATAATGTTAATCTATATGCATCACAGTTTGGAGTACAGCACAAAAATAGCATCTGCCAATCTGAGGAGTATAGTATTAGTTTTTTTGTAGTACAAATTGTTTTAGCTTTAACAATGCATCTGTAAACTGCCAATACAAAAGCTTTGTGATCTAAAATAGATTTTAAATTTTTAATACTGTATAGTATATAATTTGACAAGAGTAATATTTGGCGAATTTGATTGTGGAACACCACCAATAGCTAATATTAATTCCTCGTCAGCAAGTCAACTTGCATAGCATTTGCCTTCTTGTGCTACTTAATAGTCTCACTTGTGAAAGGTTGCCCAAGTTGACTTCTTTAAATGTTAGCCCTTTCTCTTTTGCGAATTCTCTAGCTATTACCAGCTGTTCCTCAGTCGTGGGGTCGTCAATTCCAGTGGCCACGAGAACCGTTTGAAAATTTGAAGGAGCGTTCTGATAAAAAAGACGAAGCAATGGAATATTGTAACAATGTGAAGAGAAAGACAAAATGGTTCAAGATGAACAGGAGGATGAAAAATGATTCAAAATTACTGTTTTAATCTCATCAAGCCAGTAAGATATGCCGGAGAAAGAAGCTGATTTAGCTGCATTGAATACTAACAGGCAGCCCTAAAATAATAATAATAACAACAACAACAATAATAATAATAATAAGTATGGTATTATAATACCTGCGATCCTCTGTAATAAGATGATGTGACTGAACGGAATCTTTCCTGGCCAGCTGTATCCCTTTTTTAAAAATATGCAGTAGTTTATGAACATACGTCAACAAATACAATCCACACATAATTAAACTGGACCATATCTATGCACATATATATGTGTGTGTGTATATTAACATTATTATCATTCGCCTGGCTCAAACTAGTTGACTACAATGACTAGCAGCTGTTCGTGTCATTGCACAGACATTATACATCAATTATAACACAATAATCTGTTCACGCCATCATTATCTACATAACCTTAGATGTTTTAACTTGCAAAGATTTGCTAAATTCTCATCTCTTACCATAGCTGTAGTTTGACCCTCTTCTTGTTGTGAGTGATGTCTTTAAGTCTGTAATCCAAACCTAACAATCAGACGATGAGACTTAAGTTACGTATCACATGACGGATCTACCCACCAAGAGTCGGTCCTAAACTGTCCTCCATCCCCGGTACCTCTCCCATGTACTTCTGTAGCAGTTCCGTCTTTTGAGAACCAGTGTCTCCTATCAATATTATCTTGAGGAGGACCTCGTACGGGCTGCCTTGCGCTTGCATTATTATCCTGTGTCTTGTAAAAAACAGCTTGTTAAGTTCTGGAGCTGCACTCGTTGCAAACACACCTCTCTGGGGCGTGGCTAACTGCTAGCCACACCCTTTATGAGTAGGTGTGGTGCCCACGTGCTCTCATCATGTCTACCTCTTCTACTTTCCTTCCATCTTTTTTAGAACTAAAAGAAACTGAAGAATACGGCAGAGGAGTGTATAGTGTGAAAGAACTGTCTCCAGGTACTGACGTCATCGTGGGAGATCCCCTAGCTCACGTGATCAGTTCCCACGAAAGGGAAATGTACTGTCACCATTGCCTAAAGAAGGAAAGGTGTGGTCTATTGTTATTATTATTTTATGTAATTACACATCATTATAGATCTCTTAAGAAATGTGGTCAATGCAAGTTTGTATGGTACTGCAGTCGAGCCTGCCAGGTATGGAAGGGTTAAAATTATTAATTAATTGATTATTTATTATTATTATTATTATCATCATTATTATTATTTTTATTATTATTATTATTTTTATTAATTAGAGGGAGGACTGGTTGTATCATAAAGTTGAGTGTGCAGGAATATCACGTATCAGTCCCAGTATACCTACCGATACAGTGAGACTCATTGTAAGACTATTAGTTAGAAGAAGCAATGGAACAAGCACCGTAGTAGGCTGCTTTATAATACATTAAAACAAATAAATAATATTATTAATTAATAGACTAGTTTACCTAAAGGAGCTCAGTGGGACATGGATATTCTAACTACACGTATGCACATGTCACATTTCAGTCATTTCTTTGATTGTCTACAGATGCTCCAAGATATAATGAAGAATTGAAGCAGTCGATTGGTGAGCAGGTGTTTGGTGCTAAACTCTTAATGTCGGACAGTAAGGAGTATAATCCTGAAGTGGCCTTTTCGATAGCTTGTAAGGTAAAGCGACTTACTGAAGAGCAACTAATAGTGATTGTGTTTGGAGATGTAATAGTTAATGAAGACGCCATTTTTGACCCTGTACTATAGTACAAGGATTTTGATAGCAACTTTTTAAAATTCGTAAAAAATCCAATTGTAATCGGAATGAGCTCAAACTTTCTACGCAACATAAGAACATGTATATGTATCAGAAAATGTAATAAAAATGGAGAATTCTCTGCTTTTCATTTTTGGCAAATTTTGGCTAACATCCCTGTACTATAGTACAGGGACTTTTACCCGATTTTGGAGCAACTTTAAAAATTCGTAAAAAATCTAATTGTAATCGGAATGAGCTCAAACTTTCTACACAACATAAGAACATGTATATGCATCAGAAAATGTAATAAAAATGGAGAATTCTCTCCTTTCATTTTTGGCAAAATTTGGCCAAAGCCCCTGTGCTATAGTATAGGGATTTTGACCCAATTATGGAGCAACTTAAAAAAATTCATATTTTGATTGGAATGAGCTCAAAGTTATTCATTTTTCTACACCGTCTAATTACTTTCTATTTCTATATTGTCTAGATGATCAGTAATTCATTTAGCATCCTGGACTGGGAGATGAACAGCATTGGAAGTGGAGTCTACATACTGTAAAAAAAACATCTTTCACTTACACAAATTTGCTCTATCATTTTTTGTCTCCATTAGTCCAGCATTACTGAATCATTCCTGTGATCCTAATGTTATTGCTCTTTTTGAAGGACCCAAAATGAGACTAAGAACCACCAAAAAAATATTCGAAAATGAACAAGCAAGCCTCAATAATACCTTATTTATGATATTTTTGTTCTTTCAGTTATTTGTGAGTTATACTGATCTGCTGGAGACCAGAGAGAGGAGGCAGAGACACTTGCAAAAGTATTATCTTTTCTCGTGTAATTGTCCTCGTTGCAGCTCCGAATTCTCTGGCAGTTTGGATGAGAAGTTAATAAAGACAGCTGCTGGTAAATAGACCATGATAGTCAAGTTTTTGTACCTATTTATTAACAAAGCTGGTTTAAGCCACAGTATCTTTAAATGGTGACATTACACGTATATTGCAGACCATAAAGATGGTAAAGTTTTCTTTCGTTTGTTTGGTAGACTTAAAAGAAAGTGATAGAAAGACTCTGTATAAAGATGGCTTTTCTAAACTTGACGAGGCAGAAAATGTGAAAAAGAAAGGAGATATCCTTTTTTAAGTTGTATTAATCTACAAAATTTATTTCTTAAATGTCATTTTTCTTTAACAATAAGATTAAACTGGGCTGCTTTGGAGTCCCTAGCAAGTGAATATTTAACCAAACACAGCAGTCGACTTGGTGATACTAATATACTCATAGTAAAAATGAGAGAGTGTTTAATGGACTCCTACATTGGTAAGAAGTCATTTTATGATTTTATCAGTTAGTGGTTGCACTGTGTTTAGAACAGCAGAAGTGGAGGGAAGCATTGCAAGTTGCTGTTACATTAAAAGG